CCCCCGAACCCCCGCAGGCCGGCCCCCCCACAATGGCCCAGTGGGGGGGGGCGTCAACCTCTCACGGTCCCTCCCCCCAGCTGGCTGACCCCCCCCATAGGCCCCAATCGCCAGCCAGGCCTAGGGACCCCACCCATGCACGAATTCGTGCACTGAGCCTCTACTAGTAGTAGTAGTAGTAGTAGTAGTAATAGTGAATATCCTCAGTGGTCCCTAAAATGTCTTATGGCTTTTATTTTGTTTTGTTTTGTTTTTTCTTCCTGGTCCAGGAGAAAAATAAGCCAGGTTTATTTATTTCAAAAGGTTCTGCTTTAAAAAGCACAAAAAAAACAGTTATTCTATAAGAAGCAGAAGAACAGTATGTAGAATCTTTACTATTTAGAATACAATTCACAAAAAAAATAAAAATAAAAAAATAATACAATTCACAATGGGATGATGAGAAAAACTAATTTTAATAAGTTCTCTGAGTATTGAGAATTGATTAAATGATTATGAAGCATGAGTCTAATTTTATAGAAGACATTAGGAAATATATATATATATTTTTTTAGGAAATATTTTTAATTTCTTGACAGAACTAACTAGGCAATTGCCACCAAACACAATTTAGCAGTGACATATACCATGACAGTATTTATGTTACTGTTTTGTTTTTTAAAATATATATTATTGATTTTTTTACAGAGAGGAAGGGAGGGGGATAGAGTTAGAAACATCGATGAGAGAGAAACATCGATCAGCTGCCTCCTGCACACCTCCTACTGGGCATGTGCCCGCAACCAAGATACATGCCCTTGACTGGAATCGAACCTGGGACCTTTCAGTCCACAAGCCGACACTATCCACTGAGCCAAACCAGTTAGGGCTATGTTACTCTTTTTTACTGAGATTCCCTTTCGTTCTCTAGGATATAAGTTTAGTTTACTGCACCAATTTTTCGTTGTAAGCACAAAAATAAGTACCACTGATCTTGCATCCTATACCAATTCTCAACCCTTTATTACTTTCCAGGTGACATAGGTAATTTGAACAGTAATACATTTCAGCCATTTAGATCTATATTTTTCCAGACTACCCTCTGTACCTTTTAGGAAGGTACAAGTGCAATAAATGGGGAAAAACCCCTCCCTCTAAAACTTTTTAAAAGAATGGTAGTAAGTCTGATTTTAAAGAAAAATTCCACATTCTTTTCTAATATTAATAGGTATTTATGAATTCTGCCACATACTGAGAACTACAAAGACGAGTAACAGAGCCTGAAATTTATGTCGAAATACTTACAGATACAAAAGCTATATGTTTTTACAGTTTTTGTTGGAAAAGGAACATAGTCAGTTTAACGTCATCCAAAGGGTCCGTAGGCCATTATCTTACCCACAAGAACCACAGTTTTAAAAGAATATATTTTATTGATTTTTTTACAGAGAGGAAGGGAGAGGGATAGAGAGTTAGAAACATTGATGAGAGAGAAACATCAATTCAACTGCCTCCTGCACACTCCCTACAGGGGATGTGCCCGCAACCAAGGTATATGCCTCTGACCAGAATCGAACCTGGGGGGACCCTTCAGTCTGCAGGCCGACACTCTATCCACTGAGCCAAACCAGTTATGGCTAGAATCACATTTAAATATAGTTTTATGTAGTGGTTAGAGCAATATCAGTGTGGCTAAGAATCTTTATTTTGAAATTTTATTTAGCTAGCCAAATAATTATTGAATCAACCTACCATGGGTCATGTGGAGTGCACGTTTTCAGGTGGAATAATGTTGATAGATGGCACATAGGGGTTTCTATATTTCAGATTAGAGATGAAGGGTAAAGTAAGACCATACAGTGCTTATGTAAGTATGTGTGGCTATCTTTAAGAATGTGTATGAGAGAGGATGAAGTGAGCAAACTGTTTTTGTTATAGATCAATTCTGATTCTGAAAGTGTAACGATACTTTATTTCATAGTTCAATGTAATTATTTAAAAATGTATGGTTATTACCAGTTGTTTTCCACTTTTAAGCAAATTATTAAAGGGACAAAAATGGAAAGGAAGTTTTTTTCAATATCAGTTTGTTCATATGTATACATACTCTCTATCCATGTGCCACTTATATCTATTTTTCACATGAAAAATAATTTTTATTTAAGAAAACTTTTCAGGAAGAAATCTAAAAGTTGCATATGGACCTCACTTATATTTTTATCTTCTCATGTGAAATTGCAGGAGCTTAAATGTTAAGAATATAATATACAGCTTTTTATTGCCTGCAGTGCTTTAAACAAGGAACACAGAATGCAATCAGTAAATATTATGTGAATGAATAAGTAAAACTGCTGAAGGAGTCAGAGTCTGTGTGAAATGACACTGGGCATGTAGTTAAATCATTTGGCACATGGATGACATAAAGTTTGTATTAGAGGATTTGTCTTCTTTTAGTTAAAATCCTTTGGAAAAAGAATGAAACTTTCCTTTCAAGCATATAGATTGCGCAGGAGGGTATTAACCCACGTATCAAATGCAGGAATTTAATTAATGGTATTGCAAAAGCCTTTCTGATTCATGGTTTATATTTCTTGGTTTCAATAAACAAAACCTGCCTGGCTGGAGTGGCTCAGGTGGTTGAGTGTTGTCCCGTGCACCGAAAGGTTGCCAGTTTGATATCCTATCAGGGCACGTGCCTGGGTTGTGGGTTTCATCCCCAGTCTGGTTGGAGGTTGGGTCAGGGCACATAGGGAAGGCAACCAATTGATGTTTCTCTCTCACATCGATTTCTCTCTCTTCCTCTCTTCTCCCCGTCCTCTCTCTTAAGAATGTACTCAGGTGAGGATATAAAAAATCAAAAACAAAACAAAGACTGCCAAACACCCACTTCAATATAGTATTTTCTTCATGAACATAGTTCATGAGGATCTCTTGCTTTGAAAGAGATCATCTGTATGAAACTTTCAGTTAACCATATAGGGTTTATAAATCTTTTTCTTTTTTTTTTTTTTTTTTGGTAGCCTGGTTTATTTGGAGTTTATTAGACTTCTGTAGAGTCTACACTGTTCTTTTTAAAAAATATATTTTTATTGATTACAGAGAGGAAGGCAGAGGGAGAGAGATAGAAACATCAATGATGAGAGAGAATCATTGATCAGCTGCCTCCAGCATGCCCCACACTGGGGATTGAGCCCACAATCTGGGCATGTGCCCAGACCGGGAAACGAACCATGATCTCCTGGTTCATGGGTCAACGCTCAACCATTGAGCTACACTGGCTGGCCTACACTATTCTTAATGGCTGTTTATTTAAAGTATTGAGCTCTTAGAGAAAAGGGATCTGTATGAGCATTCACATTTGATTTAGGATTTTGCTAATAGAATGCTTAGTTTTAATTTTCTTATTATTTCCGAGAGGAAGGGAGAGGGAGAGAGAGAGAGAAACATCAATGATAATAGAATCATTGATTGACTGCTTCCTGCATGCTTCACACTGGGGATCAAGCTCATAATCTAGGCATGTGCCCTGACTGGGAATTGAACCGTGACTAGGTCAATGCTCAACCACTGAGCCACACTGGCTGGGCTCTTTCCAATTTTTAATGTATCACACAAGAATTGTGTGTGTGTGTGTGTGTGTGTGTGTGTGTGTGAGAGAGAGAGAGAGAGAGAGAGAGAGAGAGAGAGAGAGAGAGAGAGAGACTGATTTGTTCCACGTATTCATTCAGTAGTTGATTCCTTACCAGGGTTCGAACCTGCAACCTTGGCGTTTCAGGACAATGCTTTAACCAACCGAGCTACCCAACCAGAGCTCAACTTGAATTTTTAATTGAAGTTTGTAAGAATAAATCGCTTTTTAAATCATCTGCTTTAAGTGGAAGAGGATAAATTATCATATTTAAAGTTTATGCTATTGAATTTTTAACATTATGAAGAAATTTTTTTTAAATAGTTCAAAGGAATTATACTTTCTTTTTTAACAATAAAGACTTCTTATTAGAGGTGTTTACATTATACAGATTAAACCTCATTATAAATTTCAAGAGACTCTTGAGGAGTGGGGGCGGCTGGGGAGAGGTCAGTGGGGGAAAAAGGAGACTTATTTAATACTTTAAACAATAAAGAGAGACTCTTAAACTTCAGGCCTTCCTGGATCTTGACTACTTTTATACATGAGCTTTGGCCAGTGTTCTCAGTGGTTAAAGCGTTGGCCTGTGCATTGAGGGGTTGTGGGTTTGACTCCTGGTCAAGGGCCCGTACCTCGGTTGCAGGTTTGATCCCCTAGCCCTGGTTGGGGTGCATGCAGGAGGCAACCGATCGATATGTCTCTTTCACATTGATGTCTCCTCTCTTTCTTTCTCCTTCCACTCTCTCTCTAAAAACAGAAAAGTGATGGAAAAAATAATCCTCTGGTGAGGTTTAAAAAAAATTATTATACATGAGTATTATTCAATCTACTCACCACATGTGAATTGTCTATAGGTATAAATGGGGAACCAGGAAGTACTGATATTAAGGTAGTTTGGTATTTCTTGGTACTGGATTTTTAAGTAATGACTTAAGAGTCAGTGTCTGCTTCCCTATGTTAGAACATCTTGACATCTGTATGTCCTCAGAACTATAAAGAGCTATATTTTAACCAGTGCCCTACACTAAAGGCTAAAGACCATAATGTTGTTAAGCATTGCAATTTTATGGGCCATCATTCCAAGGTTTTTTGGAACATTGAAATTTGTGTTTTTGGGGGGTTTTTTTTTGGAATTTGTTGAAGTAGCATTTGATCCATATTCAACATGTATGTCCTGAATTAGCAGGATGTACACATCCTGTCAAACACTCATTCTTTCTTTTTCTTTTTTTTAAAATATATTTTATTCCTTTTTTACAGAGAGGAAGGGGGAGAGAGAGTTAGAAACATCGATCAGATGCCTCCTGCACATCTCCCACTGGGGATGTGGCCGCAACCCAGGTACATGCCCTTGACCGGAATCAAACCTGGGACCTTTCAGTCCGCAGGCCGACACTCTATGCACTGAGCCAAACCGGTTTCGGCCACTCATTCTTTCTTGAAAAAACATGCTCCTAGTGTGATTTTTATTCCAGAAGCAATGTACATTTTCACAGTAGCAAATTATATTTGAATCCATAAAGTAAACCTTGGATGAAAACAAAACCTAACTATAAAACATAGATTGAACTTACATGAAATAATGATGATAGAATTTAGATACTTTGATTCTGGTGAAGCAGAACCAAGAACTAATGTATTTCTGAATCATGAGGAGTTGAAATTTACAAAGAACATTTTGCTAACCACTATGCTATACACTGAAACTAATACAAAATAATATTGAATGTAAACTATAATTGAAAAATAAAAATTTAAAAATAGTTCCTCAGGAATACAAAACAATATCTGACATTAGTTGAGAAGTGAGGAATTTTCTTTCCCTGAATATCTTGAAAATTGGGGAAATTTTAAGAATGTATATTGCATCCTGACTTGAGAGTTTCCTGGTAATATGCTTTGTTCCCAGGGTAGAAAAATCGTGCAAATTGTAATGTCATAAGTTATCTCTATCAGTAATTTAACAGAAAGCTCAGATGATCATTTTGCAAACTAATCTAGATTCTATTCAGTCTGATTGACAAGAGCTTAAAATGATGAAAATCGGTAGGAGGAAATAGCTTTTGAGATTGTTTCACACACAAAGGGCAGCAGTATGCTTCAAAAAGGTACATTGCAAGGGTAGAGCTAGTCTTTATGAAACATATTCATAAAAGAATATGTTTCATCTTCTAAGATCTACTTTTAAGACTTCCATTCCCTGTAGTTACCAACTGCTTGTACCTGGCCTTTAGAAATTAGTATGTTAAACTGAACCAGCTTATAGGAGTAACTATCTATAGGGCTTATTTACCAAAGAAAAGTATTGCTTAGAATAGCAAAATTATAAGCCTGTCTAGGCATGTTGTAAAGCTGTTCAAAAGTAATTCAGATCAAGTTTTGAATGGAAATGTAATGCTCAAGTTACAATCTGCTTTAAAAAGAAAAAGGAGAATATGGTTTTTTATAACCACTTTTCAAAAAAAGTGGAGGAGGCTCCTACTGTGGTTACGATTCTCAGATCCTTTTCAACCTTCTAATACTGTGATGGAATAGAAAAGGCTTACTATCTAACATGGTTTTATTTATAGGAATGAATTAATATACTGCACTGTCTTTTCTGAGGACATGCATGACACAAAATCCTTCACCTACTTAAATTAAATTAAATTAAATTAAATTAAATTAAATTAAATTAAATTATATAGTTAAAATTTGGATTTCCAGTCTATTCCAGAAAAGCGATCCTTTTCTTCCCACTGACTATAACTTGTTGATTATCATGAGAGATCTGCTTCACTTGCTTTTAATGATTCTGTAATAGTTGCTTGGACTTCTCCTTAGATTTTTTAGTTTGAGATTTATTTATCCATCTTGGCAGGTCAGATATGGTTGCCTTTTGCTTCCAAACCAATAGAATAAGTCAGTATACTTTTCACTAGTTTTGATTTCCAGCTTAGCTTTATTTCTTTTTCCAAGTTCTAAAATACTATTCCCTTTGTCCAAGTTCTCTCCACATCTTTAAAGATACGGTAATGTTACATTGTTGAGCTTTCATTTGTTGTTTAAATCTTTGCTGGTTAAAATATAGAGTAGGTTTGATGATGCCATGAGTTGTAGTGAATTTTGCAAATTTAAGATGATTACTTTCTGCATTTTATTTCATCTCAGTAAAAATCCAAATAGAATCTGGCCCATGTGGCTCAGTGTTTGAGTGTTGCCCCATGCACCAAGAGGTTGCTGGTTCGATTCCCAGTCAGGGCATATGCCTGGGTTACAGGCTTGATTCCGGTGGGGGCATGCAGGAAGCAGCTGATTGATGTTTCCCTCTCATCAATGTTTCTATTCCACTCTCCCTCTCCCTTCTACTTTCTATAAAAATCAATTTAAAAATCTTAAAAAAAAAAAACAAAACACCTAAATAGAATCTTGGGAAGGATATTAAAGGAAGAGTTTGTTAAAGGACCTACAAATAATATTCGAAAATTTTTATTATTTCTTTATTTTTTTAAATATATTTTTGTTGATTTTTACAGAGAGGAAGGGAGAGGGATAGAATGTGCGCTTGACCAGAATCAAACCCAAGACCTTTTAGCCCGCAGGCACACTCTCTATCCACTGAGCCAAACCAGCTAAGGGCCCAGGGACCTTTTTGTTGCACAGGAAGATATTCAACCAACTGAGCCACACCGGCCAGGGCTGTTATTTCTTTAATATATTATAGATTTCTTTTTGCAAAATCCAAGTCTTTTTAACTTTGATAAACTCCTTTTTCTGACTTTGTATTATGGATTTTTTCCTTTAAAAGTAAAATCTTTGTAATCTTTTAATAGCCAGACATTATAATCTTGAGAGTTTTATTTGGATATCCTTTAAGTAATTGTGATCTTTTCTTCTCTTCTTTATTGTTTAGTCCAAAAGAAACTCTGCCTTCAAAACCCGTAAAGAAAGAGAAGGAACAAAGGCCACGTCACTTACTCACGGACCTCCCTCTCCCTCCAGAACTCCCTGGTGGGGATCCATCTCCACCTGACTCTCCAGAACCAAAGGCAATCACACCACCTCAGCAACCATATAAAAAGAGACCAAAGTGAGTTTTTCTAGGGACCTACCTTAAGTACAGCTTTTATTACAGTGAAGAACTTTGGAGCTTAAATCTCACACTTTCTTCTACAACCCACACTAGTAGGATCATAAAAGATTGAGCCTAATGTATATCTGTTATTTTATTTTAATGGATAAAAGCCTACTACCTAGGAGAACCATTCATCTACATTCACAGATACGTAGCTGTTATTATTTTTTTTAGAAAAGCAATAAATTCCCCAACCCAAATATATCACGAACATTGATCCCATTGTATCTTTTGAGTTCATAATATTTAGATTATTGAAGGAAAAAATAAAGCCCTTATGCTCAGGGTGTGTAAGCCATGTACATATTAATGAAATTAATAGATGTGGGATTTTTTTTCTTTAATCACATAAATTGCCACACCATAAATGTAGTAGAATCTGGGTTTGATCTTCTGATTGTTAGCATTCCTTTCTTTAAAAAAAGTTACTTTTCTTGAGTACTTAATATTGCCAAAGTTTTCTATTTTTATTGTAACCCTATGATATAGAGATTCTTTTCCCATTCTATAGGTGAGTAAGCAAATACTCAATAGAGGCCAGAAACTAAGCAGCAAATCTACTTTATCTTGTATCTTCCTGAAGTAAAAAAAAATCTGTGTTTTAGCCATTGTGAGAGACAGTTTAAACTATTTATTTCATATTATTTAATTCTGCCTTTTTAATAAAGAAATTCATAGAAGACTCAGGAGTTAGAGAAATCATAAAAGAATTTTTTATTTTTTAGTAGATTTAATTTTAAAAAACAACTTCTTGTTTTGCCATTTTTAGAATTTGTTGTCCTCGTTATGGAGAAAGAAGACAGACAGAAAGTGATTGGGGGAAACGCTGTGTGGACAAGTTTGACATTATTGGGATTATTGGAGAGGGAACCTATGGCCAAGTATATAAAGCCAAGGACAAAGACACAGGTAAATATTGCCGCGAAATTTAGATGTCAGGTTAAAAAGCTAGCAATACTGATGTCTTAAGTGGACTTATCAAAAGTAAGTTTTGGGTTTTAATTTGGTCTCTAAAAGTTACTAAATAGACTAAAATTTTCCAAAAGAATAGTATAATTATTACAGTTTAAAAACCCTGCTCTTTTTCGTTGTCTTTTGTAGATGTTTTATAATAAGCTTGCTTGGAATTTAAGAGAGGGTAAAAATAAAATGTGTAAATTGCTCTTTGTTTGATAAGGGGCTTAGTCCTTGAAGATAAAATAATGTAGTTGAATTATTGGTGTATTTTAATAACCAAAATGTTTAAGCCTAACTGATTATGGGATTTATAAAAATTCAAGTCTTAAAGAAATCAAAGATAAGAAAGGGAACTTAGGGACTTGTTTTTTAAGATATAAAAGCATTAAAATAGGCATTAAGTCAGTCTTTCAGAGCAAGGGCATATTTTGACTAGATGGTAGCCAAAAAAATGCTAGTTGATACTATAATAATTTGAATTTATTGTGACAGGAGAGCTAGTGGCCCTGAAGAAGGTGAGACTAGACAATGAGAAAGAAGGCTTCCCAATCACAGCCATTCGTGAGATCAAAATCCTTCGGCAGCTAATCCACCGAAGTGTTGTTAACATGAAGGAAATTGTCACAGATAAGCAAGATGCACTGGATTTCAAGAAGGACAAAGGTACAAGCAAAGAACTATGTACAGGGTAGATTAGTACATCTTATTTTTCTTTCTTAGCATATTGCCTGTTTGCACTGTTTATAGTTTTTACTAAACTCCAACTTTTTACTTGAACCTATACCAGAATTAAGATGTCAGCATATTGCTTTTGTGTTGAATAATGCTTATTTTATAAAAGGTCCATTTTTTCAGTGTACTCATATACTTTTAGAAATTATTGTTAATTATTAAAATTAGTGTTTGCTGTGCCATTTAAAGTCTTTTTTTTTTACAAATTATAATAACAATTATGGAAATTAAAACCCAGATTTATCAGTTACTTTCAGTTCTTAAAATTTTTAATTATTTTAATTATAATTTACAAGCAATATTATATTGCTTTCAGATGTACAACATAGTGCTTAGGCATTCATATTCTTTATGAAGTGATCACCACAAGTTTAGTAACTGTCTGTCACCATGCAGTTATTACATTACTAGTAGCCCTGAGCACCAATCAATGCGCCAGTAGCTTGCTGCCGCCCTCCTATAGCTCTCTGCCCACTGCCCCCCCCCATAGCTTGCTGCCCTGCCCCCTCCTGTAGCTCTCTGCTGCCCGCTTATAGCTCACTGCCCCACCCTGCCCTCCTGTAGCTCTCTGCCTACTGTTCTGTCCTCCTGTAGCTCTCCCTGCCGTTTCCCCTCCCCCATAGCTTGCTGCCCTTCCCCTCCTGTAGCTCTCTGCAGCCCGCTTGTACCTCGTGTTATGTAACGACCATTTGCATATTACATCTTTATTATATAGGATAGGATTACTGGCTATATCCCCTATGCTGTACATTATATCCTGGTGACTAATTTTATAATTAGCAACTTATACTTAATTCCTTTCACCTTTTTTGCTTACATCCTAATGCCTCACCTATCTGACAGCCATCAGTTTGTCCTCTGTATCTATGAGTTTGTTTCTTACTCTCATTTTTACATCATCCCTTCTGGTTATTGTTTATGTGCATCCATATTTTTACATAGTTTTTCACTGATACAGTTTAGAATTCAATGCAGGTATTTCTAAATCTTCACGTTTGTTTTCCTGGATTTTTAATTTTTGTCTATTTGGGCGATAAAATTGTGTGTTTTTTTGTTCCCATACTTACGTTTGAAGTAGTCTATATATGACATCTAATATACTTTTATTGAAATAAGTCTGAAGGTTTAGAGATGGGCAGCTGTGAAGAGATGGCATGTGTAAATATAATCTAGAATGTTACAAGAGAATATGATTGGGAGGAAAAGAATGTATAAACTTTGCCCTAGCTGGTTTGGCTCAGTGGATAGAGCGTTGGCCTGTGGACCAAAGGGTGCCCTGTTCAATTCCCGACAAGGGCACATACCTTGGTTGCAGGCTCCTCCCTGGACCGGGCACTGATCAGGATTGGTGCAGGAGGCCACCAATCGATGTGTTTCTCTCACATTGATGTTTCTCTCTGTCTTTCCCTCTCTCATCTACTCTCCCTAAAAATCAGTGGAAAAATATCTTCAAAAAATATTCCTGGTTGAAGATTAACCAAAAATAATATACAAACTTATAGTTGTAAAATAAGTCAGGGGCCCGGCCCGACTAGTATTGCTCAGTGGTTGAGCATTGACCTATGAAACAGGAGGTCGTGGTTCAATTCTGGGTCAGGGCACATGCCAGGGTTGTGGGCTCGATCCCCAGTAGGTGGGTGTGCAGGAAGCAGCCGATTGGGTATTCTCTCTCACCGTTGATGTTTCTCTCTCTCCCTCTCCCTTCGTCTCTGAAATCAATAAAAACATATTTTAAAAAAATAAGTCAGTGGGATGTAATGTACAATATAGGGACTATAGTTAATGATACTGTATTAACTGTGTGTACTGACCAGTGATTACTAGTCAGTGATTACTATGGTGATCCTTTCATAAAATATGTAACAGTTGAATCTCACTATGTTGTGTACCTAAAGCTAATATAATATTGTATGTCAACTATAATTAAAAATAAATTTTACAAAAACAGAATTGAAGTATATAAATTTAGAATGTAATGGATTAATCTGGAGTTATTTACATAGTCTTAAAGATAATAGCACTAGGGAAGCAGCACCTCTGTAGTTTGGTAGAAGTACTTTTAAAGCAATTAAAAGGGAATTCTGCTTATGTAGTAGTATTTAGATAAATTTATGAAAGTTAGATCTGATATTGGGTTTATTTTGGGGAATAATATTCTGAATATTCCGCCGAAACCGGTTTGGCTCAGTGGATGGAGCGTCGGCCTGCGGACTGAGAGGTCCCGGGTTCGGTTCTGGTCGGGGGCATGTGCCTGGGTTGCGGGCGCGTTCCCGGTGGGAGGTGTGCAGGAGGCAGCTGACCGATGTTTCTGACTCTCTATCTCTCTACCTTCCTCTGTGTAAAAAAATCAATAAAATACATTAAAAAAAAATATTCTGAATATTCCATGTTAGAGAGAGAGGGAGGGAGAGGTATAGAGAGATAGAAACATCGATGAGAGAGAAACATCATTGATTGGCTGTCCCCTGCAGGCCCCCCCACTGAGGATTGAGCCTGAAAGTCAGGCATGTGCCTTGACCAGGAATTGAATTGGTATGGATAGACGCTCAACCACCAAACCACACAGGCCGGGCTAAATTAATTATTTTTTAAATAATAAAATAATGGATGGATGTGATGCATGCCCATTGTAGAAAAATTGAAAATACCTATATACATAAAAGGCTAATATGCAAAGTGTTCCTCTGCTCGTCTGATCGGTTGCTATGACACACACTGACCATCGGGGCAGATGCTCAATGCAGGAGCTGCCGAGCTGCAGTGACTTGGCAGCAGCGGTTCTCAGGTGACATACCCGAAACCAGAGAGGAGGGAACCTGATTCCTTGTGGGGCTGTGTGATTCCACCTTTGGCCGTGGGTTATGTTGTTGCTGGGGCACTATTGGCCCCGAATCTGGTGTATTACACACTTACATTTGTGTTCCACACCCTGTATGACAGCAACTTTGCAGAATGCCCTCTTGCACTCTGGGACCCCTTAAGGGATGTTGGAGAGCCAGTTTTGACCCAATCCCTGCAGGCCAGGCAGAGGGACCCCGCTCACTCTGCAGATGCCCTTCAAGCCACGGTGCCACCCCAGATGTGGCTGGCTGGGAAGGGACTGCGGGAGGTTGGCTCCAGGGCATGTCCAGCCCGTCTCGCACAGTCCCGCCCCACTGGCCATTTTCTAATTAATTTCCTTTCAACGTGCATGAAGTCGTGCACCAGGACACTAGTAGAAGAATAAGAAAATGGCAATCACTTTTCTCTCGCTCCAATCCAGTATACCATAGAACCACTATAGTGTTAGCATTTTGGCATATTTCTTTCTAGTACTTTATATTATATACGTATTTATCTTAACATTACTGGGATCAAATATAGTTAGTGTTTTATAGCTTGTCCTAAGCAATTTCTCATATCATTAACATGTTTTAATGACTGTGCATAAAGGTAGATGAATCCAAATTTACTTCATTAGTCACTGTTGAGCAATTAATTGCCAGTTTAAAATATATATTATAACAGTGCATTGAACATCTTTGTACATAAATCTTTACATTTAGATTTATTTCTTAATATAGTTTCTGAGACGTAGAATTATTTGGTCAAAGGGATTTTCATATTTATTGTTAGATTGCTTTTAAGAAAGAGAGTAATAATTTATGTCCCACCAGTGAGTGTCCATTCCATTTTATCTTCCCTAACATTGAGTACATATTTTTAAAAAATGGTCATCTTGATAGGTGAAGTATATTGTTTTGAATTGCATTTCTTATATTTCATCTGAGTTTTTTTCCATGTTTATTAGTTTTACATATTTTCTCTTTTTTGAGTTGTCCTTTGTCTCCTTATCTTTTACAGTTTTGTGCTTTTCTTATTAATTTGTATGAGGTGGTAGCTAAATCTCCCTAAGATATTCCTTTAATGTAGTGGTTCTTAACTTTTTGGGGTCATGACCTCTTTAAACATGGATCCATTTTTCAAAAAAATATGTTGCATACATATATCTTTAAAATATTGCATACTGTTTCAGAGAGTTCGAAGAGTCCTTCAAGCCTACCCCCTAGATTCTGAATCCTTGCCTTTATGTTACCAGGAGACAGACGTTTAGACCAGATAAATCATTGTCTAACTAGGTCTAGTATTTCTTATGTTTTGATATTTGTCTCTAGTATGAACCCTGTTGAAAGTGGCATTATGGTATGGATTTCAGATCTTTTACAGTTCTCTAAAAGTACTTTTTTTATCTGCTTCTAAATTTAGGGAGTTTAAATAGATGATTCATCTTTCTTTCATTACTAAATACTATGAAATTTACTAACAATTTATACTAACTAGACTGTGCTTCCCCCCCCACCCCTCCAGCATATTATGTGAGTCCTATTAATGAATATAAAGATTTCTACAAAAGTAGTCATAGGCAGTATGTAACAAAATGGGCATGGTTGTGTGTTACAAATAAAACTGTATTTACAACAGACAAGCAGACTGGATTTGGCCCAAGGTCTGTCATTAGCCAATTGACTTAGATCATAAAAGACTAGTAATAATGCAACATGATTGGGGCAGTTGTCCTCCTCAAGACATAGTAGTCTAAAGAGTTCTGGACTAGGAGTCAGAAGATTAATTCAAATAGTTTTGTTACTTGTTATTAGAAAGGGCAAGTTATTCAACTACTCTGAATTTCAGTTTCTTCGTCTATAAAATTAAGCAGTTGTTCCAGAGGGCCTTATGGTCAACTCCAAAATTATGTTAAAATTTGAAGCATTGTAATTTAATAATCCTTTTTCTATTGTTTTTAATTTTTCTTCTATCCTATGTAGGTGCCTTTTATCTTGTATTTGAGTATATGGACCATGACTTAATGGGACTGCTAGAATCTGGTTTGGTGCACTTTTCTGAGGATCATATCAAGTCATTCATGAAACAACTAATGGAAGGATTGGATTACTGTCACAAAAAGAATTTCCTGCATCGGGATATTAAATGTTCTAACATTTTGCTGAACAACAGGTAATATAGTAAAACTAAATGAGGTTAAGCATTTTTTCCCTTCTGAGCCCCTTAGTTTCAATTAGTTGGGGTTGTAGGTAGAGCCAATCATACAGTTTTTTGCGTTTACATACATATCTGGTGTTTGTACCTTAGGAACAACTTATAATAGGGGTATTCTGATCTGCAGTCTCCAGACTCAGTGTTGATAAGGAATTAACAGAGGTAGGATTGTAAATTGCAAACATTTAAGGGAATCAAATCATATCCTACAGGACTATTCAGAGAGTTTTTGCCATAGTTAGTAAATAATATTCAAATATACATTGAGTTCTTTCTTTTTTTAATTTAAAGAAATATTTTTTAATTGATTTTAGAGAGGAAGGGAAGGGAGGAGGAGATAGAAATCAATTATGAGAGAGAATCATTGATTGGCTGCCTCCTGCATGCCCCCTACTGGAGATCGAGCCGGCAATCCGGGCATGTGCCCTGACTGGGAATCTAACCATTACTTCCTGGTTCATAGGTTGATGCTCAACCACTGTGCCACTCTGGCTGGTCTCTTCAGAAGTTTTTAGCATCTACTTTCTTCCTCTCTGACTGTTTGCCTAAATTCCATTGGTAATATCAGATGTATTATGCACAGTTGTCATTGGTGATAGTCCTATCTATTGAGGAATAAAAAGCAAGTTTGACACTATTAAAATCAGGCCAGTATTTGTTTCTTTAGGAAATTGGGCTGTTTACAGCCACCTTTGTCTGATTCACTCATTGTTTTTTTGTTTGTTTTTTAAAATATTTTTATTAATTTCAGAGAGGAATGGAGAGGGAGAGAAAGATGGAAACATCAATGATGAGAGAGAATCATTGATCTGCTGCCTCCTGCACACGCCACACTGGAGTTCAAGCCCACAGCCTGGGCATGTGCCCTGACTGGGAATTGGACCCGTGACCTTCAGGTTCATAGGTCTATGCTCAACCACTGAGCCACACCGGTCGGGCAGATTCACTCATTGTTTTCAACATTTCTGTTTAAAAATTGGACAAACATAAATAGCAATATGAAATGATTCTGACATATTTTTTGGCCTTTGTGGAGTGGGGTGACCAACCATGCAGGGTTACCCAGGACTGTCCTGGTTTCAGTGCTGAAAGTCCTACATAGGGTGATTGGTTGGTCACTGGAGAGCTCCGAGTTTAGTAGGGAAGCTAAACAAATAAATTGCTCAATTCAATAAACTTTTTATTAAGCCATTTTATTCCTTGAATTTGGGAGCGCCTGGGGAGATGCAGTATAGAGGAATGAATAGGAATTTATCAGGAAGACTGACAACAGAGGGCCGAGTTTCTAGGCAAAATAAATTGCATTGACAAAAGCACATAAATGTGAAAATAACATAGCATGTCTGGAAAATGAAAAAATCAGTATTGCTAGGGTAAAGCTGGACAGTTGCAAGAACCAATTTAAGGATCTAGTATAAGTCGCTAAGGAGGTTAAACTTCATAAGTGACAGCCACTGAAGGATGTTGGTTCAGTTAATTCTTTGTTTTTAAATTATAAAACTAATGCATTATTTTAAGTTAAAAAATATATAAACTGCATATATTTGTACTTAAATATCTTTTTGAGACAAAACATGGAGTTAAGGGATTATTTCTTTCTGTTGCTATCTCCATGACCCAGAATTCTCATTAAAGCTGGGCGTAGTTAATTTACATCTCTAGTCGTAATGTTTCAAGAACTTGATGGTTTCGGCTTGCAGCTTTCTGGACTATAGTATTACCATACTTTCTTCTGTTCCTTTTGCTCCTCCACGGGGGATGTTTCAGGCAAGGGAATAACTACAAGCCTGCTCGGCATCTTTTCTGGTTGGTGGGTCAGATTCTGACCTGATTCCTGATTTCCCACAATCAGGAAATTCAGGAAGCTAGGTGGGATGCAGGAGTCTCATAGTCTAGCTATATGTAGCTTTTGCTCTTCCCATTTAATTCTGTCTACACAGAGACTTCTGGGTGATATTACCTGGAGAGAATGGTAGGGAGACCTCAGCTGGAGAAGAAAGAGAAAGCAGTTGATAAGAGAGGGAGGAGAGCAGGGCTAGTAAGTCATGTGGGAGTTCCAAACTAGCAGTATACATGGATTCAGGAGTTATCAAGCATAGAAAAAAATGTCAGAAGATAGAACCCAAGGGAATGGGCAGAGAAAGAGGAAGAAAATAAAGTATATCACGAATGCAAAATAGGCAAGTTTAAGAAGTGAGTGGCCATAGATGTCCAATGATGTAGACAGATTATAAGACTTACAAGAATGTGAAAATTAAAATGTCAGTGGTGACTGTGGGGTAAGTGGATGGGTAAGACAATTAATAGGAAGGTGATCACGGTAGATGTGTCTTTAATTTTATATTAAGGATACAGAGGTTTGAGTATATTTAAATGCTAATGGAATAGAAAATCAATAAAAGTTTAAAATTCAGGAAAGATTCAGAACAATTTAACGGAGGGAGGGTCTAGAGGAGTTGGGATCAAAGCCACAGGTGGTAGTAGCCACAAATGTAGGTGTTGATTAGCCTTGAACAGGAGAAGAGATTGCCAAATTTGTTCTGTAGTTAAAGGAAGGGGAAGAAGGTTATAGGTGCAAAAAGTTTATAGGTAACATGATGGCTTCTGTTTTCAATGAAGGTCATTTACTGAGAGTAGTGGGAAGGGGTGGATTAGGTGCTGGTGATATTTAGGTTTGGCCTATTTTTCCATAACTATGTCTATTGCCATTTTAACTTATAGTCTACTATGTGCCTTGAGTCATGGAACATCTCAGGCTCTCAGAGTAAGATGCCAAGAAATTTGAGGAACCCTTTTTGTCTCATTATAAAACTCATGTCAGCTATTCCTTTCCATTTTGCTATTCTCAGAATTTGGTTATAAATTGACCTTTAAAATGTAATGATTTTTGGAGCAAGTATGTAAGATGCCCATAATCTTTACTAGAAATGATTAGAGTTGATTTAATGTAAAATTTTGTTGTTACAGGCATATTTGGAGATTTTGCTAGTTTGGTACCAGATCACCACAATAAAGCAAATATCACAGTAAAGTGAATCATACAAATTTTTTAGTTTCCCAGTGCATACAAAAGTTATGTTTACACTATAGTCTGTTGAGAGTGCAACAGCATTATGTCAAAAAATGTACATAACTGAATTTTAAAAATACTTTGTTGCTAAAAAATGCTAACCATCAGTTGAACCTTTAGTGAGTCCTAATTCTTTTGCTGATGGAAAGTCTAAGCCCACAGTACTTACATATAACTGTGGGCTTGCTAGAAATTCTAATTTTGGGGCTATGACCTACTGAATCAGCTTCTCTGGCAGTAGAGCTCAGGATACTTTTAATAAGCTTTCCAAGTGATTTTTATTTCATATTACAGTTTGAAAAACCCTCTAAGGTCATAGTTGTATATCATTACTAGAGGCCGGTGCACGAAATTCATGCACAGGTAGGGTCCCTAGGCTTGGCTGGCGATCAGGACTGATTGGGGCCTTCTGGCTGCTGACTGGGGCCTTCCTTCATTCCCTGCTGTACCCTCGCGGTCAGCGCACGTCATAGCAAGTGATCGAACTTCCAGTCTCTCGGTCGAACTTCTGAGGGGACACTTTGCATATTAGCCTTTTATATATATAGATGTTCTAGGACAGGGGTCCTCAAACTTTTTAAACAGGGGGCCAGTTCACTGTCCCTCAGACTGTTGGAGGGCCAGACAATAGTTTAAAAAAAAAACTATGAACAAATTCCTATGCACACAGTGGCGGCAAAAATACCCGGTGGGCCGGATAAATGTTTTCAGCGGACCGCAGTTTGAGGACCCCTGTTCTAGGAAGTGATGGTAATATGTTGGTAGAAGGCCTCATTCATCATAAAAATTGTTAGCTCAGATCAAAGCTATTGTCCCTGTTTGAAAAAAATCTGTGATAGCCACAGTGTTTACTTTTTATTATGAAAAAGTCAAATGACAAGAAAAAGTTGAGACTAATATAATTAATTACATATACAATTAACATTTTATTATAGTTGCTTTTATTTTTCTGCTTGAGTTATTTTGTTTTAAAATATATTTTTATTGATTTTAGAGACAAAAAGAGAGGGAGAGAGAGAGAGCAACATCAATGATGAGAGAGAATCATTGGTTGGCTGCCTCCTGCACATGCCCCACACTGGGGGGTCAAGCCCCAAAACCCAGGCATGCACCCTGACTGGGAATTGAACCCTGACCTCCTGGTTCATAGGTCGATGTTCAACCACTGAGCCATGCAGGCTGGGCTCTGTTTGAGTTATTTTAATTACAGACATCATTACATTTGACCCTAAATACAAAATTAATTATTACCTACTAGAGGCCCGTTGCACGAATTTGTGCATGGGTGGGGTCCCTTGACCTGGCTGGCTATTGGGGCCAATCAGGGCCGACCAGCGGGCGGAGTGGGGGGAACCATGGGAGGTTGGGGGTGGGAGTGCACTGACCATGAGGGGGCAGCTTCTGTGTTAAGCATCTGCCCCCTGATGTTCAGTGCGCATCATAGCTACCAGCTGTTCATTCAGTTGTGTCGTCATAACTGTCATAACGGTCACTTAGGCTTTTATATATAGATAGATAATTTTCTAACACTCAATCCATATATTTTTCTAGTTATGTCAAAAATATCTTTTGTATACTTAGTTTGGATTTTGAGTTGGATTTAATTGTTAGGCCTCTTAATTCTCTCTTAATCTAGAACAGCCATTTGTCCCCCCTATAATAAGTATTTAATCATGAGGGTCTAGCGACTGTTTGCCAAGACATGAAGGAAATATTTAGTTGAGTCAAATCCAAAAATTAGTAGTTTTCCCCCCACAAAAAGCCCTAAGGCTTAGTAACCCTAAGGTTACTGGAGTAATCAAAAGAGACTTAACCTGGGAAGGAAGGTTAAAAGCAGAGATTAAAATCAATTTTTGTAAATCCTCTAACTCCTAAATTAACAGTTAACTTTTTTAGGTATAATTTGGAGATTATTGCTGTTAGTTATGAAAATAATTGGTTTTGTTTTACAGTGGGCAAATCAAGCTAGCAGATTTTGGACTTGCTCGGCTCTATAACTCTGAAGAGAGGTGAGACATTTAACAAAATTACATGTGGGAAATAATGCTTTTTATTCTTGGATATTCTAGTATCCTGCAAGTTGCAATAATTTTCTAAATGTATTACTATCTAGGTTATAGAAAGTAAATTCTATCTTAAGTTCTTGGATCAGCCTTAAACTAAAATAAATCAACCCAACTTGTACTTTTGAACTATTAGGTTGCTGTGGAGTTGTTTTGATAGTCCCAACTTCAATTGGCAGCTATTTCTATTTGCATTTAATTGTACAAGTATTTTATATCAGAAGCTATTGTAAATTTATGTCATGATTGGTTTTTACATTTCAGTCGCCCTTATACAAACAAAGTCATTACTCTGTGGTACCGACCTCCAGAACTTCTGCTGGGAGAGGAGCGTTACACACCAGCCATAGATGTTTGGAGCTGTGGGTAAGGATCCCTTCCTTTACTTTTTCTTTTCTTTGTAACTCACGTATTGTTGAACTTGTATCTTGTTCTCTCTCCACATTGATTTTTGTAGCCTTTTTTTTTTTTTTTTTTAGTTTAAAAGGATGGGGATAAACTTTTAGCCAAATTTCAGAGAAATCTGTTGTTGAATATTTCTTAATATCAGAGCTACTTTTCATTTACTTATTTTATTTTATTTTTTTGTACTGCCTTCACTAAACGTTCATTGGACAGTAGCGCAACCCTAAGAAAAAGGTGGTTGGCTCAGAGATACTTTTTAAAAATTTCAATTGTCTTTTTATTTCTTTTAACTTAGTTTGAATTGGGATCCATATACAGTCAAATCAGATTCATAGATTGCAATTGCTTATCTCAAGTTTTTTAATTATTGATTCTCCCTCTATCTTGAGTCCCCTTATCTCCTTGACAATTTCCTTAGAAGAAACCGGGTCACTTATTCTGTACAGTTTCCTACAGTCTGGATTTTACTGATTGCATTCTTGTGTTGTTGTTTGTTTGTTTTTGACATGGTTCTCTATTCCTTTCATTTTCTGTATATTGTAGTGAATTTAGGTTTGATTCCCAATCACCCACTGACCTTGAAACTACTCTACAGGTGGTTTTGAGTATTTCTGACAGATTATCAAAATGGTACATGAGAGTTACGGTGGGGGAAGAGGGGGCAGTGAGAGCCTCTTCCCAGAAGACAGGCAATAACTATGTACGTTATCTGTAAAAATTTGTAAACAGCAAAATAATCCACTACAGATTAGTCTGCCCTTTTTTTAAAAAAAAAAAACAAACTTTTTTTTTTTATTGATTTCAGAGAGGAAGGGAGAGGGAGAGAGAGAGATAGAAATGTCAATGATGAGAGAGGATCATTGATTGGCTTTCTCCTTCATGCCCCCTACTGTGGATTGAGCCTGCAACCTGGGCATGTGCCCTTGACTGGAATTGAACCTGGGACCCTTCAGCCTGCAGGCCTATGCTCTATCCACTTAGCCAAACCAGCTAGGGCTAGTCTGCTTTTTATTATCACCTTATATAGGCAATTCTGGTAAAATATTTATTCCTACTAGGGTAGATTTACACACATATATACACCACTTTACATAACATATAATTTTCTCTTTTTGAAGTGTTATCAGCTGTTAATGATCCACATCCATTAATTCATTTGTGGTTGTTTTGTGATGGTGATATTCTAATTATATCATTCCTTTCTGGAATAAAGATAACATATCTCTTTGGCTAACCTTAGGTACAAATGATATAGAAAAGGTAGGGATAAAGGTTTAATTCTTTTATTTACCATTTTAAGATAAAGAGGTGGTTTTCTAGCATTCTGTAAAGATAATCAAAGAGAAGGCTTGAGGGGCTTGTTTTTTAGTTTCATTACGGACTCATGGGATTAAACATATTTGATATGTGTTAATCCATTATAGTTATCATCCTTATTCCTGTTCAAACTGTCCAGTCTTTAGGGAGTTTATTCAGGTTAATTCTTGAGTCTTTTTGATACATTCATAGTAGTCTAGCCTTCCTGTTTCCTGGTCCCAGGCTCATCCTATTTATTCCTTCCCCAGACCTCGTATCAGCCATTTCTCTAAATAGTCTTAGTTCCTTTTCATTGAAAATAATATTTACAGTTTGTTTCTGAGAGGAATAGACATTTTACATGGCCCATGTTCATTAATTGTTTCTTATGCCGTATGACTTATGCATACATTCCACTGTCCTTGACCTGAATGCTTTAGGATTTTGACATACATACTTACAGTGGACCAAAACACTTTCCCCCATTTTTTTCCTTTTATTTCATTCTTTAAAAGGAGCATTGCAAGGGTTTTATTTCAAAATTCAAAAGGGTGAGGGAGAAAGAGAATATAATTTCTGTGGTAGCTTACTCAGATCAAATGAAGCTTTAGTTAAATATACTGATTCAAGCTGGGTGTGTCTGTGTTCTGGACTAGCATTTAAATTGTCACAACTAGACTCTAAAGGTAACGTCCCATTCCATTAAGATGCAGGTTGCGGGGGGTTGGGGGGACAGTTCATAGCTCTTTTGGTACTATTATTTTAGTCTCTGCAACCTGCCACGTTAGTGTAGTAGCGAAGTGTTGGATACATAGTGATGTTTTCCCCACCAAAGAACTGGAAACTGAAATTTAAAAAGCCACAAAAACAAAATTTGAAATTAATATTATAGAAAATTAGACTTTCTTTAAAGCCCAGTGACTCATTGAACTGAGATTTTGACTTTTGATGTGAGCTTACTACTTTGGTGATCCATGGTAGTCTTCTCTGAAGATACTTTTGTAGAATGCTCTTTTCAGAGACTCACTAGAGCAGTTCAATTTGAAATTCTGGGGAGAAACTAGAAAGACTAGTACAACAAATTATACCTAGAGTCTGAAAACACAGCTGGGTTTGTTTGTTTTTTCCTTCAGCCTTTTATTTTATCAGTTGTGAAAGCACTGTATTTGGAATTTGATTTGGCAATTAATGTTAGAAACAGAATTAAATTTTATTTTACTTTTTTATGTCTTGATAAGGTTCATAAGAATTTCTCATTTGAGGTTAACAAATACAAATAGGAAGGTACTAATAACTTTAAGAGCTAGGTTTGTTTTGCCTTCTCAAATTTATTTATTTATTTATTTTTTATGAAGCCTATTTTTTTTTTTTTTACATTTTATTGATTTTTTACAGAGAGGAAGGGAGAGAAATAGACAGTTAGAAACATCGAGAAACATCGATGAGAGAGAAACATCGATCAGCTGCCTCCTGCACATCCCCCCACCGGGGATGTGCCCGCAACCAAGGTACATGCCCTTGACCGGAATCGAACCCGGGACCCTTGAGTCCGCAAGCCGATGCTCTATCCACTGAGCCAAACCAGTGCTGGCTGCCTTCTCAAATTTAATCAAGCCAGATAATTTTAAAGTGAAACTATGTAAACATTGGTTTTGTGAGTATTTTTGAATAAATCTCATTTCAACGCACATACTAGAGAAAAGATTCTTTTTTAAAATATGTTTTTATTGATTCAGAGAGAGGAAGGGAGAGGGAAACGTTGATCAGCTGCCTCCTGAATGCACCCTACTGGGAATTGAGCCCTGGGCATGTGCCCTGGCCGGGAATTGAAACTGCAGCCTTTTGATGCATGGGACATTGCTCAACCAACTGACCCACCTGGCCAGGGCTCCCACTTTTTAAAAATTGAAGTATTTCACACATACAAAAAAATATAAAGTATTTATATAAATTTTTCCATTTGTTTTTAAGTTTATTTTGAAATAATTTCAAATGTACAGAAAAATTACTAGAGCAGTACAAAGAACTTTACTATAGCCTTTATTTAGATTTGTTAAAATTTTTTCACCTTTTAATTGAAGTGTATAATAAAATGTATATATTTAAATTAGACATATTGTATACCAGTGAAACCATCAAAAGTTTATATCACCTCCAAAAGTTTCCATGTAATCTCTCTCCTGTCCCCACCATCCCATTCCTAGGCAATCACTGTTCTGCTTTCTATCACTATTGATTGATTTCCATTTCTAGAATTTTATACAAATGGAATCATACAATGTATGCTCTTTTTTTCTCTTGCATCTTTTACTCAGCATAATTATATTGAAATTCATTCATATTAGTCACTAATTTTTAACATCTTGCCACATTTGCATGTATGATGTATATACATATATATAATATATACATAGAATAAAATGTGTTTATAAATATACTGCATTTTTCCAGAACTATTTGAAAATAGTTGTATATATCATGCTCCTTTCCCTCTTAATATTTAATGTATATTTCCTAAGAACAAAGATATTCTCTTAAACTAGAGGCCCAGTACACAAAAATTCGTGCACTCGGGAAGGGGGTGGTCTCTCTTCCTGGCCTGCGCCCTCTCGCACTCCGGGACCCCTTGGGGGAAGCCCTCCTGCCCACTTAGGCCTGCCCTCCGGGGGATCGGTGCCTATTTGGCAGTCAGACATCTCTCTGGCAGCCCAGGAGCCCTCGGGGGATGTCTGACTAACAGCTTAGGCCTGCTCCCCACCATTAGTTGGACTTCCTTAGTGCAGCCACGGAGGCAGGAGAGGCTCCCGCCGCCACCAATGCGCTGGCCAGCCATGAGCCAGCTGCTGGCTGAGAGGCACTCCCCTTGTGGAAGTGCACTGACCACCAGGGGGCAGCTCCTGCATTGAGCATCTGCCCCCTGGTGGTCAGTGCGCATCATAGTGACTGGTCATTCCTGTCATTCTGCCATTGGGGTCAATTTGCATCTAACTCTTTTATTAAATAGCAGTGGTTCTCAACCTTCCTAATGCCACGACTCTAATACAGTTAGTTCCTCATGTTGTGGTGACCCCCAACCATAAAATTATTTTCGTTGCTACTTCATAACTGTAATTTTGCTAGTGTTATGAATTGTAAGGTAAATATCTGATATGCAGGATGCATTTTCATTGTTACAAATTGAACATAATTAAAGCATAGTGATTAATCACAAAAACAATATGTAATTATATATGTGTTTTCCGGTGGTCTTAGTGACCCCTGTGAAAGGGTCGTTCAACCCCCCCAAAGGGGTCACGACCCACAGGTTGACAACCACTGTTAAATAGGATAATCACAGTACAATTACCAAATTCAGAGAATTTAACATTGTTAGATACACTATATTTAATAGAGTGCTTTAGCTTACATTTCATATCCTCATTTTGTCAACAATGTTCTGGAAACAGTACCTTACCTGATAACAGGATCCAATCCAGTATCATGTATTACATTTAGTTGCCATTATTTAATCTGAAACAATTCTTTAATATTTCTTTGTCCTTCATGACATTTACATTTTTAAGAATACAAGACTAGTTACTCAATAGGTTCAGGTTATGAATTTTTGGCTGGAATACTCCATACGTGTTCTTTTCAAGTATCACATTTGTTTGCTTCTTTTTTTTTTTTTTTTTTTAAATATATTTTATTGATTTTTTACAGAGAGGAAGGGAGAGAGATAGAGAGTTAGAAACATCGATCAGCTGCCTCCTGCACACCTCCTACTGGGGATGTGCCTGCAACCCAGGTACATGCCCTTGACCGGAATCGAACCTGGGACCTTTCAGTCCACAGGCCGACGCTCTATCCACTGAGCCAAACCGGTTTCGGTTGTTTGCTTCTTATTAGTGATGTTAATTTTGGTCATTTGGTTAAGGTGTTGTCTGCCTCCCACCACAAAATAGTTATTAGTTTTCATGTTGTAACAAATAATAATTTTTATTATGTTTAATTTTTCTAGTTATTAGTAATAAATAATATTTACAATATATTATATATGACATACTTATATATAATATATCTATATATAATATATATTATATAAAAATAAGTAATTTGTGGAGAGAGACTGGAGATTATAAATATGTCAGTCTAGTTTTGAAAGGCTTTTTCAAAATGATAAAGGTATTTAAGCATATTGTATCTAAGAGTCTTATTGAAACTGATCTTGGCTTATGACAATAACCTTTTTAAAAAAAAACAACACAAATAGTGCTAAGAGGACTATAGGATAGGGCACCGGTCACCAACCTTTCGGACCTCACAGACCACCAGTGGTCCATGGACCACCGGTTGGCAACCGCTGGTATAGGGCACATTCCATAGAACAGATAAATGAACAACGCTAATACATATTCTCTTTATAGGAACTGCTGGGCATCCTTGTAAAATTGAAGTGTGGGGTTTTTAGTCTTATTTTTCTTAATTTACAATGGAAGTGTTATAAAGGGACTCCCTTTTTTTTTTTTTTTTTTAAAGGAAAAGACTCTTGACTCCCTTTTTCTGCTAATTTATAGGCTGTCCTTTATAGGTGGCAAGGGTTTTTACCTGCTGGTAAATTTAAATCCTTTATACTGTCTAGTTTTAGTGCAAGAAATATTTTCTTTTATGCAACTCAGACACTGCAATGTAGGGCTAATTTACAACCTGGTATATATACATAAAAGTTTATTGAGACACACTATAAGTAGCTTCTAGGGATTTCTCTTCTGACCTCTCAGTTTTACTCTTTCTAGATGCATCCTTGGGGAACTGTTCACAAAGAAGCCTATTTTTCAAGCTAATCTGGAGTTGGCGCAGCTAGAACTGATCAGGTACAGCTGTGCATGTGCTCTGAGGGTCCAGGTGTGATAGGTGATCACATCCTCTAATTCCTAACACTTTTCAGTTATTTTACTAACTGATTTTTATGCTCCTTATGTCCAAGTAAGTTTCTCTTCGCTCAATCAGGTTTACCATATATTTTGTCATGTGCTCTATATGTAAAGAAGTTGTATTCCACCTACTCTTTTTTAAAAAAAAAAAAATATCTTATTGATTTTTTACCACCTACTCTTTAGGTCTTACTTTGCATGTTTTTTATTCTTCATGTAAAAGCATGCCATTTTCAGGATAGTTATTTCATTCTTAGGTTAATTAAGATCAAACTTATTTAGCACACATTTTATTGAGTCTGTTTTGTAATAATTTCCTTTTTCTGTTAAACTTTAGGATTCAGAGATAAATAAGATAGGTCCCTGCCTTCAAAAAGCTCAGAGTTTAATAAGTGATGAAACATGTAAACAGATAATTATGAAATAGAACCTGTAATAGAGGGTTTCAGGAAGACCTGGGATTGGGATAGAATTTGGATTGTTTTATTCAATAAAATTAAAGGAACGAATATAGCAGGCTAATGTAAACTTTTTAAAAGGTGGCATATAACTTATTATTTGTTATGAAGTAAACTCAATTTTCCATTAAAATTTTCAGTCTTGGGCTCTCTTCTGCCAGTTTTTCTTATATGGACATTTTAGGACCAGCTCAGCCCTTTGTAATTAACACTAACTGAACTGAACAAAATTGATACTGAAAACTTCTGTGGAGGATTAAAAACATGTTTATGAAACCAAATATGTTGTGGATTATTTTAGATAGTTGTGCCAGTATTTTCTCTTCATTATCTTGTAACCAATTCTTTCTGTCCTATTCCTTTTGTCCTTAAAGCAGTGAGGCCAGGTTTTTCTTTCTGCATGCCCTCTAATTTAATAAGCTCTTGGGAGGTAATCGTTTCTGCTTCTAGAATCTCCAGAATTCATGATGCTGACGCACTTACTTCCTTGTTCTTGCTTTCTGCTTTGTTTTCAGTCGACTCTGTGGTAGCCCTTGTCCAGCTGTGTGGCCTGATGTTATCAAGCTGCCTTACTTCAATACCATGAAACCGAAGAAGCAATATAGAAGGCGTCTACGAGAAGAATTCTCTTTGTGAGTTTGGCAAAAATGTGCATCTGTTTTCTATGTTTGATTGGTGTTTGGTTTGGACTTGGCTTTTTCCTGGCCTAGGAAGTTAGTGTTGTCCCAATTTATTATGGCAACACATCATAGGAAAGCATTTTATTTTTAACGAAGTTCTGTCACTGCCTTTTGGTAATTTTCTCTTTTGAACGCTTTTCAGCGGTTCTCAACCTGTGGGTTGTGATGTCTTTGGGGGTCGAATGACCCTTTCACAGGGGTCGCCTAAGACCATCAGAAAACACATATATAATTACATATTGTTTTTGTGATTAATCACTATGCTTTAATTAGGTTCAATTTGTAACAATGAAATTGGGGATCACCACAACATGAGGAACTGTATTAAAGGGTCGCGGCATTAGGAAGGTTGAGAACCACTGCTTTAGATGATAGAAAACCATTTTATTTTGAACATTATATATATTTTTTCAGTCTTTTTGATCTTACCAAGACAAAAAGAGAATGTAATTGCTGGTTTCATGTTTTCTAACCTGTTATAGCACTTAAAGCCTGTGTGGAGCCCTAGCCGGTTTGGCTCAGTGGATAAAGCGTCGACCTGAGAGGACTGAAGGGTCCCAGGTTCAATTCCACTCAAGGGCACATGCTTGATCCCCATTGTAGGGCATGTAGAAGGCAGCTAATCAATGATTCTCTCTCATCACTGATGTTTCATTGATGTTTCTATCTCTCTCTCCCTCTCCCTCTCTCTCCTCCCTTTCTCTCTGAAATCAATAAAAATATGTAAAAAAAAAAAAATTCTGTGTGGAAGAAAACCTGCTTGCTTGTCTAGCCTCCTTCCAACTCCCTTTCCACAGTTTTATGTGAAACTGGAAATTCAGAGCCTTTGACAAAAGGTTATAGGTTCAAGAATTATGTGGTGGTTGTGAACTTACCCTTTCTCTCTTCCTTCCCACAGCATTCCTTCAGCAGCACTTGATTTACTGGACCACATGCTGACGCTAGATCCTAACAAACGTTGCACAGCTGAGCAGACCCTACAGAGTGACTTCCTTAAAGATGTTGACCCCAGCAAAATGGATCCTCCAGAGTAAGTGCTGATGGATCCTCCATGTAGTGACTTTAAACCTTCCCAAGCCTAGGAGATGAGAAACTCAAAGTAATAGACATTTAAGAGGAACTGCAAATGGTCCTATGCCAAATGGAGCGGTATCCTCAAATAGGGTTATGACTGATAAGAGCTTTTATTGCTCTATGTTGTGTGTTTTTTTAAAAAACAAGGCATAGATTTAGATATATTTGTTCTAATTTGACTCAAACTATCTTGTGTTCCTGGATCCCAGCATATTTTCATATAGAGCCTCTTTGAACATATTTCTTCCTAGTTTTTGCTATTAACTATTCCATCTGCTTGAATCCCCTATGTCTATGGTGACCATGTATATGCCACACTTACAAGGACAGTGCTAATTTTAAGTTTGCATCACTGTCAGGTCAGATGTCCTGAGTTTAGAAAATGCGGTCTTTGAAGGTGTTTCTCTTTCATTAGACTTTTATGAATTTCCTTATTCTCCAAGATCCTCAGAGTTCTACAGTCACATCTCACATTCTGGCAAATAAGTCTCTTCACATTTATCACTGACAGCATTTTTGGACATTTCTTCTTTACAGAAAGACTACCTTAAAGAAATGAATGGGATGTTAGTACATGAGTAGGTACTAACTACAAATCTGATTGTCCCAAAGAAATTTATTGCACTAAAATTTTGATACATGAATATTGATTGAAATACATAAAGCATTTTACTGAAATTTGGGGACTCTTGCAATAGAGAGATTTTTGGTTATGGTAATCCTTATTGTAGTAAGATTTGACCTACTAGGACTGTTTGCATTATCATGGGAAAGTCTGAAAATATATTAAAATATGTTAACAAACCCTATAAATTAAAATATCCAGTAATGAAAATTCAGTGGGCAGAAAGAAGAATGAACCAGTTTTGTTTTGTTTTTATCTTCACAGACCAAGTAATACATAAATTGATTTTACACAGAGGGGATTTCCTCATGATATCCTTATGTTATTCCAAAATTTAAATCACCACTTTGCCTGGACTCTTTGTAGCTATTAACAAGCCAGTCATCTCCGTGCTATTTATTCCCAACTGAAACTTGACCAATAAAGTTCTCTTTTATTCTTGTTATATCAAGCAAGAACTATAAGACTTAACTACTTGGCAGGAGTATGAGCATTTTTATAGCAGATGTGTCTCTGATATTAGCAAAATCCTCATTTCTCACTGTAGAAGTCTTTTAGGCTTTTGGACTTCTACTTCCTCAGACTATTATGCCATGATTCGTTTTACACTATTACTATTTATTTACTAACTTCTCTGGTTATTTTTATGGTTTCCTTATTCTTTACATTTCCCTCTGCTCTTTGCCTTCCCATTTTAATCCCTCTTTCTTCTGTTTACTCACCGCCACATTCCCACACACATTTCCCCTTTGCTTTGTCTTTTTCAGCCTCCCCCACTGGCAGGATTGTCATGAATTATGGAGTAAGAAACGGCGGCGGCAGCGACAAAGTGGTGTTGTGGTAGAAGAACCACCTCCATCCAAAGCCTCTCGAAAAGAAACTACCTCAGGGACAGGTGCTGAGCCTGTGAAGAACAATAGCCCAGCACCACCACAGCCTGCTCCTGTCAAGGTGGAGCCTGTGGCTGGGGATACAATAGGTCAGTGTTGGGGTAGAGACTTTGTGCTTCTTTTAAGCACATTTTAGCAGGTTTTAAACGTTCAGTGCAAGGATGTGTGTGTGTTTTAATTTTTAGTCAGTGAAGCATTAATAAAGAGGTTGGTCATCTGATTATAGGGAAAAGGAGATAAACCAAGTTTTGTACCTGTGGTCTAGAACTTCAATAGATGTATTTTCTATTCCTGAAGTAAGGAATACTATATCTCAGTTAGATGTATGGTATAAATCACTGAATTAGGTGAGCCAAATTTTAATTTAAGGTTAGTTCACCATGGATCTCTAAAAAAAAAATTTGAAGCCCTGTATATTTTGGTTTGATAAGACCTTAGAAACCAGTGATGGTAAATCACAGTTGCTAAATGTAGTTAGTTCTGTAGACTTATCTGATTTAAATATATATAAAATTGTATAATAATGAACTATTATAACAAAGTAGTTCTTCTGCGGGAACAATAGTTTTTCTGAACTATAGATATTTTTTCCTTGGCTCACTTTCCCTTCCCTGTCCACCTAGAACAGTAATTTTCAATGCTGCCTACACATTAGAATCATCCAGGAAGCTTTAAAAATAAACACCCCTGAATAATTGCCAGATTTCTAGGGATAAATAAAGGTTAAATGAAATAACTTTTTAAAATATATATATTTTTTTTTTATTGATTTTTTACAGAGAGGTAGGGAGAGGGATAAAGAGTTAGAAACATCGATGAGAGAGAAACATCAGCTGCCTCCTGCACACCCCCCACTGGGGACGTGCCTGCGACCAAGGTATATGCCCTTGACCGGAATCAAACCTGGGACCCTTCAGTCCCCAGGCCGACGCTCTATCCAGTGAGCCAAACCGGTTAGGGCTAAATGAAATAACTTTTACTTACAATACAGAGATATTTGAGTTAGCCCATGAATTTTTATTTATTTTTAGAACTTTAAAAAAAATGCTTTTATTGATTTTTAGAGAGAGAGGAAGGGAGAGATAGAAACATTGATCGGCTGCCTCCTGCACACCTTCTACTGGGGATTGAGCCTGCAACCCGGGCATGTCCCCTGACTGGGAATCGAACTAGTGACCTCTTGGTGCATGGGATGTTCAACCAACTGAGCCACACCAGCCGGGCGAGTCCATGCATTTTTAAGCAATAATATAAAGAATAACAAAATGTGGCCCTGGCTGGGTAGCGCAGTTGGAGTATCATCCCAATGTTGTGGGTTCCATTCCTAGATGGGGCCCATGCAACCAATGAGTGCATAGATGGGTAGAGTAGCAGATCCATGTTTCTCTCTCCCTCTCTCCCCTCTTCCTCTTCCTCCTATTCCCTCTCTCTAAAGTCAGTAAATTAAAATAAAAGAATAGCAAATTGTGTCATGACGATTTGAGGCATGAAAAATGAGACATTTTTAAGGAAATTTCATTCACTGGATATTATAAGTTGCTATTGCCAATTGAAGAATGCAGAGGTCTTTGCCCTGCCTCATCCTCTTATATTGGCTTCACTCTCTCTCCACAGGCCTCGGTGATATCACACAACAATTGAATCAAAGTGAATTGGCAGTATTATTAAATCTGCTGCAGAGCCAAACTGACCTGAGCATCCCTCAAATGGTACAGCTGCTTAACATCCACTCCAACCCTGAGATACAGCAGCAGCTGGAGGCCCTGAACCAATCTATCAGTGCCCTAACAGAAGCCACTTCCCAGCAGCAGGACTCAGAACCCATGGCCCCAGAGGAATCTGTGAAGGAGGCACACCCAGCTTCAGTGGTCCAGCCTTCAGCAGAACAAAAGACCCCTGAAGCTTCAAGCACACCAGCTGACATGCAGAATATGTTGGCAGTTATCTTGAGTCAGCTGATGAAAACCCAGGAGCCAGCAGGCAACCTGGAGGAAAACAACAGTGACAAGAACAGTGGGCTACAGGGGCCCCGAAGAACTCCCACAATGCCACAGGAGGAGGCAGCAGGTAAACAGACCGGTCATGAATCTCATTGAGCTCAGGTGCTGTTGATCCTCTTAAAAATCTCTTTAACATTTTCTTTTTCACACCAATGGCATCGGTTTCAGTTTTTCTGTAACCTAGTCTACAGGAGAACATACCAACAAGTGATGTATTTCTTGTCTGGCTTCTTTTATTTAAGTCTCAAAGCTTTTCAAAGCACCTTTTCATATACTGATTGTTTTTCCATTTCTTAGGAGGTAGGTAAGTAAAGCCCCTGTGTTCTAACCCACAGAAACCACAACCATAGCTAGTGATGTATTTGAACTACTGTGTATATGGTGGCCAACTAACCCTTGAAAATCTGCCTTCCAAACAAACCATCAGATTGTGCAAATAGGCAGTGATACTCGAGTGTAGGGGATGCTGGATACCAGAGTCTTGCTTGGAAGATTTATTCGAGAAAACCCTAATAAAACCTCATTGTTACCTCATGAAGAATAATTTGGGAATATTTCTAAATACCTAACACCATACATTTATTTTGGGGGATATTTCTAAATAGATAACACCATACATTTATTTTTCAAAAATTAATAGCATATAAAAGTGATTCCTTCAAAATATGTGTTTCTGAAAGAGACAATTGAATGGATTTTAGCTTAGGAAATGAGCATTATATAAAGAAAAAAAAAACTTACAAAAGGAAATAACGTTTGTTATACCTTGATCTCACATGACCATAGCATGCACTTTATTAGAAGGAAAAGAAGTTCTGATCAATTCTGATTCAGTCGGTTTGCAAAATCTTTATTTATCTAAAAGTGTTTTCAACTCCTTGGAAATTTTTGCTGTCCATGAAGAGCCCATGAATTGGGGAATGAGAAGAGGTACAAGGGTTGAAGAGATTCACTAACCTTCAACTTCAGGGTCCTGCATTCACATTTCATATGGGATGGTGCAGAAAGTATATGCCTTATTTCCACTGGTATAGAGTCAAATATAGAAGCTACTTTTCATATGTAAAGCTTTTTAAAACTGGAAGATAACATAAATAAAAATAGCCCTTATATTTTACAGATAGGGAAACTGCAATCCAGCAAATTTAAATTAGCCTGCTTATTTAAAAAAAAGAAGGGGGGAAAAAGCCTGTCGATGGTCCCACTGCTGGAACCATATTATTGGCAGAGCCAGAATTTAGAACTTGTGTACCCTTTTAATGTGTTTCTTAGTTCACTTTGCTATTCTGTCATCTGGTTTCAGTTGACTCCAGGACATGGAATAACAGAGAAAGCTAATCTAGAATTAAAGGAGGCCTCTTTGTATCATCTCTCATATCCCCGCAAAAAAAAATAAAAAAAAAATAGCTATAATCAAAATACCTGAAAGAAATGGTTCAAATTAAATAGCATGATTGAAAGAAATTCACTCAGTAATTGAGCCAACAAGCTATCAGCTAAATGATGAAATTGAACCAAAATTAAGGCCTAGCCTATGGTAAAAACAATTGTTGGTTTGACTTTTCAGAGGAGAATAAAAATGCCGCTCCTAATTATTAGTCACCCCTGGATTAACCAGCTGGTGTCTCCTGTGTCTCCTGTTGTTTCTCCCCTGCTGCCTCTTTCGGCCATTTTACTGTTCATTAGTACTTCCACCAGAGGGCAGACTAAATAAGCTGCAGAAGGTGAAAATCTATATCACTTTGGCTACTGTTTAGCGTCTCTATACTTGTTGGGAAAGGGTTATGGTTGAAAACTGATGAGTCAAATAAAGTTTTAAAGTTATTTGTACCTTTCATTAACACCTCCTTCCATTAGTACAGACTGTTAAAGATTGGCAATATTGTTAACACTAAATTTTACAACAGTATGATATTTTAAATGTGATCTTTATTTTTAATTCCTTTAAGAAGTTTTATTAGTCCTGGCTGGGTGGCTCAGTTGGTTGGAGTGTCATCCTGTACACCAGAAAGTCGTGGGTTCGATTCCTGGTCAGGGCACGCGCCTAGGTTACAGGTTCATATGGGAGGCAACCAATCAATATTTCTCTTCTCGTCCCTTCTTTCTCTCTCTCTCTCTCTCTCTCTCTCTCTCCCTCTCTCCCTACCTCCCGCCCCCCCTTCTTCTCTCTCTTAAGTCAATGAAAGCGTGTCCTCAGGTGAGGATTAAAAACAAAAGTTTTATTAACCTTACTTTAATAGTTTTTTACAATGCATCTGCTTTTGCTACTTTGAAATAGTTTTCATCCTCATACATGTAAAAAATTTGAGCTCAAAATATGACTTTATATTACTGAAACAACTAGGCTATTACATAAAAGACAAACTTTAAATGTGAATAGTAGTATATCTGGAAAAGTTTAAGTTTAGTTTTGCTCACTTTTGCAGTTGGGTATTTTTAAAGTCATTTTTTCTCAGCATTAAAAATAAACACATACACACACACACACACACACAACCCCACCACCAACAACCTGGTGTCTATTTCATGTATTGTCCAAAAATACTTTAAAAACTAATCAGTACTGTGATGTTTTTATGTAGTGAGATATGTAGCATTGGCAGCAAAATCTCTGAAGTCTATAGATGTTTGTATTTTCAGTTAGCTCTCCTTTTTTAGGATGTCTAACTTTCCATAGCTAATTTTTTTTGTCCTTAAATACATTTTTCCTACCACCTAGTCAACCAGCCAGTGTGTCAACAAGTTACTTGAGCAGGTACTGTATATAGGGTGACCAGCTTGTCTCTGTGCAATCCTGACTTGAAAAGTGAAAGTTGGCAATTTGGGAACTCCCTCAGTTCCCTGTAAATTGGGATTGTTGGTCGCCCTTATTTGTATGTTACATAGAGCATCTGACCTCATCCTTCCACTGCATAACTTCACAATTTTGTAGTGTTTTCATCTGCATGCTCATACTTACTTTTTTATCTTTGCAAAATATAATTGTAGTAAATATGCTACCAAAATATCTAATTATAACCAAAAACTACTTTTTCCTTGTCTGAGGAATGACTTTATATTACTAGCTCAGATAATAAGAATTGACTATATGTATATTTCAAAATATAGGGAATGGAAAATCAATCATTTGGAAGATATCCAAAAACATTACGCCTTTTTTTCAGCAGGGTAACTTCCAACTCTCTAAATGTACTGTTTTGACTGTACTGGTTTTTTTATGTTCTCAAACTCATGCCATTTTATATCTCTACCCTGCTGTCTTGGCAGGAGTTCATTTTCAGACAGTGATTGGCATGCTTGGGCAAATTTAGCCAGCAGTGGGGGAAAAAGTCTGGGGAGTTTAGAAAGACAAAGATCTTTGGAAAGACAGAGTATAATATTAGTTTAATACATTTCTAAATACTCAGTTCTTGTCACTGTCTCCAAGATAAACAGATGTTTCTCAATAGCCCGTTCTGCATGACATTGCTATAGTAATTTTTCTTATAGCATGGAAAAAATGCAGGAGGTTGAGAAACAAAAAAAGTTATTATAGATTACTTTGGTCTTTATAATTACTATAACATAGGAAGCTGAATGACAGTATGGTGGTTAATATTCCATTCTTCAAAATGTGGTTATGGGGAGAGGGACTGAAGTTTGGAGAATCAAGTGTATATTTATACATGATGATAATGAAAGGTTTTTACTTTATTTCATCTCTCTTGTATGTTCCTTAAGTTCTATTTCAGGTGTTAACATTATTATTAAGCATTCTGTAAAATGTGTTAACTAAGTCCATGCAAGGTCTCCATTGTACAGCAAATATTATGTCTTAGAAATGTGACCACAGCATGTATATTGTTCCCTCTCATCTTCCTTCTTTCTACTTTATTTTCATTAATGTTTTGATTCAACAGCAAAAAGGGGCAGGAAGGCTGCCAACAGCCTACATTATTAGAACAGTTCCTTAAAGAAGGAAATGGAGGAAATCTCAGACAAAAATCAGAAAAATATTTGAAACATATGATCTTTTTACAACAGCTGTTAGATCCAGAATGCAACTGTTTTGCTTTTAATCACTTGATTTTATTTATAAATTGAAATTTCCTGATCCCAAGATTTTATTCTTTTATATATATTTGGTTACTTGTATTGATATATGTTTATGTTGGGTAGTATTTGTGTGTGTGTGTGTGTGTATGTATGTATGTATGTATGTGTTTATAATCACATGTGATTTTTAAGATGGTGTTAAAAGAAGTAACCCTTCCACAGCATGTCCTCCTCACATTCTTCCACCAGAGAAGAGGCCCCCTGAGCCCCCCGGACCTCCACCGCCGCCACCTCCACCCCCTCTGGTTGAAGGCGATCTTTCCAGCGTCCCCCAGGAGTTGAACCCAGCCGTGACAGCCGCCTTGCTGCAACTTTTATCCCAGCCTGAAGCAGAGCCTCCTGGCCACCTGCCACATGAGCACCAGGCCTTGAGACCAATGGAATACTCTACCCGACCCCATCCCAACAGGACTTACGGAAACACTGATGGGCCTGAAACAGGGTTCAGTGCCACTGACACTGATGAACGCAACTCTGGTCCAGCCTTGACAGAATCCTTGGCCCAGACCCTGGTGAAGAACAGGACCTTCTCAGGCTCTGTGAGCCACCTTGGGGAGTCCAGCAGTTACCAGGGTACAGGGTCAGTGCAGTTTCCAGGGGACCAGGACCTCCGTTTTGCCAGGGTCCCCTTAGCATTACACTCAGTGGTCGGGCAACCATTCCTGAAGGCCGAGGGAAGCAGCAACTCTGTGGCACATGCAGAGACCAAATTGCAAAACTTTGGGGAGCTGGGGCCAGGAACCAGTGGAGCCAGCAGCTCAGGAGCAGGCCTTAACTGGGGGGGCCCAGCTCAGTCTTCTGCTTATGGAAAACTCTATCGGGGGCCTACAAGAGTCCCGCCAAGAGGGGGAAGAGGGAGAGGAGTTCCTTACTAACCCAGAGACTTCAGTGTCCTGAAAGAGTCCTTCCCTGTCCATCCTCCATCCAGTCCTCTGAACCTTTAATGAAATCATTTGCCAGAGCGAGGTAATCTTCTGCATTTGGCTATTTCAAAGCTATTCATTGTATTCCTTGCTCACTTGCTACTAAGCACGAGACATAAAATAATGATGTTGGCAGCATTTCCCCCTGGATAGGTTGGTTATAGTCAGAACATTTAGTTCAGCTCTACCTAGTAAATATAAGTAGAGAATTTGGAGAGTCATTAAGTGGAAAAGTAAACGCTTTATTAGTTCATTGCCCGCACATCTTGAGCAGAAGAAAAAGAGAACAGTTTCAGTTTTTGAAATGGCCCAGGAAGAGGCTCTTTAGGTTTTTAAAGTTTGAGGATTATTTTTTTATGTTTTGTTCTTCTGAATTTAGTTTTTTGGATTTTTTGTTTTGTTTTTTAAAGAAAGAATAGTGTTCACAAAATTTGAGCTGCTCTTAGGCTTTTGCTGTAAGGGGCAAAGAGTGACTGACTGATTTAAATAAATGTTTCCTTCCTCTCCACCACCTCACATTTTGCTTTCAAGTAAACTCTTCTTTTTCCCCCATTGAGCATCTTTAACATTCCTTTTTTCCAAATAAATTACTCATCCTTAAAGTTTGCTCTGTTTTGGCAAAAGACATGACCCCTTTTCCTGTATATGAAGCAGGTTGTAGAAGGTGGCATTCTTGGGCAAGTAGGTAGACTTTATCCCATCTTTTTCCTTTTTTACCCCATCTTCATAGAGGTTTTCTTTGTCTCCTTTTGAGGCATTTGTTTGGAAAAAAATTAATCGTTGAGATGCCCAAGAACCTGGGATAATTCTTTACCTTTTTTGAAATAAAGGAAAGGAAATTCAAACTCCTTTTTTGTTCTCTGTAACTCTTCAATTCTAAAATTTTTTTCGTTTTTTTAAAAACCATGTTCTGATGGTGAAATTGATTTATAAATGCAGACAGCCTAGGCCATTGCTGCTGAGTTGGGACTAGAGATAATGCCTTCAGACCTAGAGGACTAGAAAGAGCAGTTAGCATACTGTTTACACATATATTTTTATGTAAAAAAAACCCCAAACCTTTGAAACAGAGCATTTTAATATTGTCAAAGAGAAAATAAACATCCTGAAAATACATGGAAATGTAATTAGTTTAGGGTAGATATTTTTCTGAAGATATTTCAATACCTAAGACCTTTTAAAAAAATACTTTTGAAAGAGCAGAACATAAGAACGAACAGTATTGACATATACACATCTCTGCATGTATATCCTGCCAATTCTTCTAGGGATTTTCCTCTGGAGAGATTGGGTTTTGGTAAAAGGGGTTAAATTATGATCTCATGGCAAGTATTTTTCCTTATTATAAAGAGGAAATGGAAAAGGGAAAGGCTTTCAGGGTGGGATAACGGGAGGCTTCTCATTCTGGCTTTTGTTTCTATGTGAGTACCAGCATATAATGTGTTTTAGGAACATACACATTTATATAAATTATCTGCACAGACTTAGACATTTGTGAAAAGTAGGTTAGCTCCTTTTTTTACAAAGAAAAGGCAAATGTGCTTCAGCATCTTGAATAGTTTTCAGAACTCAAGTGAAGTTACATGTTTCAATGCCAAGTTCTTACATTAAAAAATTAAAGACTACTTGTAAGAGAAAGATGCACTAATAAAAAACTTTAGAGAAATGAAAGAAGAACCCTCTTCAGATACTTACATGAAGATTATTTTTCCCTGTCACTGAAATAGGTAGATTCCTGGTGTGTGTATTTCTTTATTCTTTGGGTTTTGGTCTGGCCTTGCCCTCAGGGCCAAACATTGATGAGAAAGAATCTACTAGCCATTTTGGCTTTGATGGCTTTTTATACCAATATGTCCAATTAGATTTGCTAGGTTCACTGACATGGTATTGGTATGTTGCATTAAAGTTCATCTAAACTTTTTTTTTCTTCAATATTTTGTATTGATGTTTAGAGAGGAAGGGAGAGGGAGAAAGAGAAACATCAATTGGCTGCCTCTTTCACAACCCCCAACTGGGGATCAAGTCCACAACCTGGGCATGTGCCCTGACTGGGAATTGAACGGGCAACCTTTTAGTGCACAGGACAATGCCCAACCAACTGAGCCACACCGGCCATGGAATCTGAACCTTTTGTCTGTTGACTTCTTAGTCCTCAGACATGGACCTTTGTATTTTAGAATATTTGAATTTGAGGCATTGAGCCCCACTTTCCCAGTTTTGATTAAAGAACTCAGAAGTACATATTCAGTGGGGGAAAAAATTGGTTTCCCATCAAATATGAATAAAATTTTCTATACATTTTAATTATATTTTGATTATCAGCAGTCATCAATAATATTCCCCTTATCACACCTTATTTTTAATTATGCCAAATATTCTAAATGATATGCTTATGTCTCCATCATTCCCTGCTACTAGGGAAGGGGGTGAGTGTATGTGTGTGTGTATGTGTATGTATGATCCCATCTCAAGGTCAGACCCCCATTTTGGGAGTCTAACCTTTAAAATGGGGAGGAAGTTTGGTAATTTTGACTATTTCTAAAAGCAGAGGAAAAAAGGAACTCAAATATCCTGGAATCTGTGGAGGAAGAAAAGGTATTTGTTAATTTTTCAGCTGTGTTATCTATAAACATAATGGAAGTAAAGGTTTGGCAGAATTTCAACTTGACTATTAGAAAACTATAAATTTAAATTACATTCAAAAGCGGTTTAAGTATTGTATCATGGGAGGTATTAAGTCCATTAAATACATTATTTTGAACAGATGAGAAATCTGATTCTGTTCATGAATGAGGCAAAACTGGTTTGACCGTAGTTATTTTTTTGGTTTTGAAAACAAATTTGCTTGATCCAGTTTCCTTAGTTTTTTCAACTTTCTATAGGAATGATAAGGATTTGAAAATGACATCAGATCTATATGTTTAAAAGCAGGGTAGTTAGCACAAATTTGTAAGTAGGACTTCTGTTAGCTTATGCCATAGACATCATCCAACCACTTGTGTGTGTGTGTGTGTGTGTGTGTGTGTATATATATATATGTATATACATGTGTGTGTGTATATATATACATATATATATAATATGCATATATAGTTACAGTACTAAAATGGTTACTAGCAGGTTTTGAGAGAGAGTGCTATATCAGAAAAGTGTCAGTTGCCACCTCATTCTCCCTGACTTAGGTTCCTGACACTGTATTCCTTTCTCTCTTGATTTTGCCCCCCATCGGGTGTACCTTGTCTGTGTACAGATATTTTGTAATATATTAATTTTTTTCTTTGAGTTTATAAAAATGGAAAGTGGAGATTGGAAAATTAAATATTTCCTGTTACTATATCACTTGCTCCATTGCATTTACTTCTTAATCTGTTACCTCTGAGCAAAGCCAATTAGGTATGGAAGGCATTTTCCCCCCTCCACTTTATCTTGGGGGCTCTTTGTCGCAGAATCACTGCAGATTCATAAACTACCAAAATAAAAGTCCTCACGGTTTAAAGAGGTGTTTCAAAACACAAGACTAGGAACAAGAAAATTTTAAAAGTTGGGGAAAACTGTAAGATGTCATTTTTTAAAAAGTAGAAAACAGTTACACAAATAATGGTAGTCCTAGGCCATCAAAAAAGTTGAGCTTCATGTACCCTGACTCCTCCTGAAGGGAGAGGTAAGTGGGTTTGAGCTCAACTGTCATTCAGGGAAGTTGGTAAGAGGGTGTTTCAATTGAAGAATAGTCTCTTAAACCAGGATCAGCACCACCACCCCTGACCAGTCCTGTGTTACCATATGTAAGGTCAGCATGGGAATTAGTCTTCTAGCACTGTTGAGATTTCTGGATACATTGCCAATCCAGAAAGTTATTTGTAAGGCTAAAATTCCTGTGTCCAAAATCTTTACTATCTCCAACTGAGGAGATAATTGCTCTCCCTTCTCTTTCATGGTTTAGGACACAGAACTAATTTTTTTCTTATAGTATGTGTTGCATTCACAGACAGCAGATAAAACCCATCAAGAGACAGAAAGGAAGAGGGGAGATATAGGTATCAGGAAATTATGAATGGGGTTAGCAATTATACAAAATTACAGGGTACACCAGAAATTAGGAAGAAATTGAATTTTCAAAAGCTGGTGGTAATGAGGTTGTCAGCTTGCTTTTGAATCCCCAAAGTCTAAGATTGTTCCCTTACCTGTGGGTTGTCCCATGTTTATCCAGAAGGAGAATGGAGAGCTCAAGGTGGTTCCAATTCCTGGAATCCTGTGTTCCTGGTTATGCTCCAAAGAAAAAATTCTTTTTTCAGTCTTTATATGTTTCAAATTCATGACTAGGAGTGTGAACTTCAACTTAGAATATACTCTAGTAGAGTATATTGTTTCCACTCATAGCAATGGCTACTTTTTCAATTTTGGGCCTAAAGGCTGAGGACCTACTAGTAACTGGACTTTTTAAATTCCTATCACATCCAAGGCTGTTTCTAACTAGAAATCATATAGTTCAGTACCTAAATTTGTTCGGCACTATCTTTTCCCAGACAGGCATCCTTAATTATATGGTAAGGTTAATGCCTTAAGGAAGTTAATATTTTTGGTGCTGAACT